GCTCCGGTTCGCTCGTACTCGCCACCACCGACAATGCGTACGAGTCCGGCAGCGAGACCAGCGTCTCAGATTCCTACCAAGACTGGTACGTTAAAGTCCATCTCACCTAATAGCCGCCAACTGCTTCACTTGGTTACTTTTAGCTGCTGCAACACCTGTTACTCCTCTGGGAACTGCAACTACTACTGCTCCTTCGAAGGGTCCAGGACTTATGTCTCAGATGGCAGCCACTGCTGGAGGAGTGGCCATTGGCAGCGCCGTTGTAAGTTTTCAACGTTTTTTGGGCTTTGTCCATCTAATTGAATAACGCTGTAGTTGAGTTGTTTGTCCCCATTATGTCCACGAAGTGTGAGAGCTATATGATTTTTATTTTGGAATGTTTTCTTACTCAGTCAGGATTCCTGCCACTTGCAGTGGTATGATGTTATAGTATATCCCAATAATGTGGAGAGCTGTGCAAAAACATTTGCGTCAGCCGGGATTTGAACCCAGATCTCATTCTTTCCGGGAGCGCATACTAACCTTTGCACCACCGACGCTCGTTTTGCTTAGCACTTTTTTTATTGGAGATACCATAACATCATACCACTGCAAGTGGCAATCAAATAAAAAGAATTCTGACTGGTTATCGATATCCAATGTCTGTCAACACAAGTGGGTTTAATGCCGATAGCAACTGCCCCGCCAGACCGTCGACGGTGGGCTGTTGGCAGACAACGCGTTATAGCATAAATAAGAGTGCTGTGCAAAACGAGCGTCGGTGGTGCAACGGTTAGCATACGCTCCCGGAAGGAGTGAGATCTGGGTTCAAATTCCTGCTGACGCAAATGTTTTTGCACAGCACTCCGCATTATTGGGTTTTCTTACTGTCTTCCCTACAGAATCCTTTGGTAATGTGCTAAAGCGACTCGTGGCTTAAGTGTACATAAATGAGCATCTGTGTGGAAAGCTTATCAGAGATGGGCTTTCATCTTCTTTCACGACCCGTCTTTACAACTACTGCGAACATTTCGGGTGTTGTTTGAGGATTGCCGTTTTCTTCTTCTTCTTCTTCACCTTCTTCACAAATATCGGAGTAGTCGGGCTAGAGCGAGCACTTGAACTGTGTGTATGAAATCGTTCCCAGGCAACTCTAGGACCAATTTTTCAACTCCGAAGGGACGATAGGCATGGTGAGTCCCGGAGGGGTTCGAACCAACACTCTGCTTGTGATAATCGAGCATCTTTGCAGCTCCACTAACGGCCCCTTTTTGATCAACTTACAGAAAATGAATTTCTAGCTCTACTTTCCCTCTTTAGACGATTGCACATATTTTTCATTCTGAAAGCGACAGTTAGCCGAGGATTATTGCTGTATGCTATGGTGTTTAGGGTCATGCTGTTGGGAATATGATGACGGGTGGAGGAGGCTCATCACAGCCCGAGTCGGCTGCGCAAGTGTTGGCGCCCGCAGTTGATCCACCGCAGCAGGCGTACTCTCAGCCATGTGAGTTCGAGTGGCGACAATTCATTGAATGGTGAGGTTTACCTTTCCCTATGTTTTTTCTTTGGCTCAGCAGTATCTTTTGTCAATCGTGTGTAATGAGAAGTACATGGTTTTGCACTGTTTACTGAATGTATGCTATAATAATAAGAGCGCATGTGGCGCAGTGGTTAGAGGTGCCCTGCGTCGCACACGAGGTCAATGGTTCGATCTCGCGCTCATGGCTCACCAAGCCATCCATCCCTCCGGGGTCGGTAAATTGGTACTAGACCGGTCTCAGACTTGTCTGGGAGGATAAGCAGCACTGACTCGGTTCAGCGGGAGGCCACCGCGAGTCATTGTAAAGGCCAGATATGCATTCAATCACCTCAAACGAAGTTAAAAATTGAAGTCGAATGCATGGCGCATCCCTCAGGTATTGATCAACGCCGAGAGCTTTATCCTTTATCCTTTTATGCTATAATAATCAGAATTTCAGCACCCAGACTCAATCGGATATGTCTCTCTGCAATGGATTCAACGAAGTGTTTAAGCAGTGTAAAGCACGTTATGTCAATTAGGACATCGTTCGTAACTCAGATGTGTCTTGTTGGAGATGTGTGTGCATCTGGGTCACTCTCGGGTTTCCAGATTCATACACTTTTTTGTGTTGGAATACTTAGTGTTTAATATAATGTGTGGATTGTAGATCGGAAACGTCTTTGTAGTTGTCGATAGAGAACGAATAAACTGTGGTGAACAACGTATCGTTTTATGCGAAGCATGTGGACTACCGTTAATGTTTACGTGGAGAATCGTTGCTAAACCATTGTTATGGTTAGGTGTATCAGCACTGGCAACTAAGCAGTTTTGTAGGATGACTTTCTCTCAGTGTTTTGAGCTGTCGTACCTGCTGTAACTAGGTTGGACCCCATCGGGCAGTATTTTGCTTGGGATAGAGTACACACGATGACAAGTGGAATTTTCCTATCTGATAATCATTATTTGGGCCATTATGTCATATATAGTCTGTTTATGGGTACTTGTACAGCCGAATGTACGTGTTTCGGTGTTGGCAGCCTCGTCAGTCGGGTAAGCCTTTCGTCTTTAGCCAATTCAGGCGATCTAGTGATTTATTTACTTGACGGCACGTGTGAATCGTGTAAGTCGTCGCCTACTCCATGTAGGGGGATGGGCATTCCCGTAGGATTGGTTGAAGACGAGAGGCCTGCCAGACTGATGAGACTGTCAAGGCCGAAGCACTTGTATCGGGTTGTACAAGAGCCCATAAACAGACCACATGACATGTTGGCTCAAGTAGTAGTTATCAGATCTATTGAAATTTTAGCGTGGTCTCAAGAACACACTCGAAACGAACGGTATAAGAATTCTCTTTATATGATCACTCTCAGCGGGGGTATGATGTTACAAATGTGCCCGGTGGTGTAGAGTGATGTGCAAAGCTTTCGCGTTAGCTGAGGCTCGAACCCGGATCTCACTCTATCCGTGAGCACGTGCTATAAACCGTTGCACCACTGACGCCCATTTTGCCCCCATCCTTTCTACGCCACAGCGCATCTATCTCTCAGCAGCCACCGTCAACGATTTGTCCTGGGTAGTTCGTCTCGGCATTGAACCCAGTCACACTAACAGATGTTGAGTAAGAGTTCTATTTGATCGTCCAATGACATCTGTCAGCGTGACTGGGCTCACTGTCGATACCGACTACGTGGGCCAAACTTTGGACGGTTAATTGCTGTCAGATAGATGCGTTGTAGCGTAAAAAGAGTGGTGAGCAAAAGGGCGTCAGTAGTGCAATGGGTTAGAGCACGCGCTGCCGGATGAAGTGAGATGCGGGTTCGAGTCCCGCCTGACGCGAAAGTTTTGCACATCACCCCACACCACTGAGTTCACACGATGGATTTATCGACAAGGCTTTGTACAGAACTGTATGGACGGTGCAGCTTCTCGCGATCAATATGACGGCTACGAAATGCTGCTTACTGATTGGATCAAAAAAGTGGTCGAGTATGCCACGTGGTACCCAAATATTTAACCCCTCAAGGACGGGAGTTGACCGATCGCATAGCGCAACTCGCAAGAGGACGCGTGATTTTCATTATTCAATAAGGGTTTTCCATCCGTTTGAGAAGCAAAACCACCAAGTTTTCTGTGTTACACTGGTATCTAGATTTCCTCTTCACAAGTCATGTGTTACGACGTTTCTGTACGATAGAAACTTTGAGGGTGAAACGTAATCTTGTTGTCGCTCTTACAGTTTCCTATGAAAACTTCTCAAAAAACCGATGACACCATCAAAATTCACGAGATTTATGCTGTCAAATGACTAGTAAAAGTTTGGCGCAAAGCCATATATAAGCACCAACCGAGTCAAAGAAAGTCCGAGTTGTAAAACGCTATTGAATATTCGCTGCTACAGCGCAATTAAAAGGGCTTTTCCAAGCTCAGAAATATTGTTGAGATCGCAGAAACAATTTGAGACCAGTTAATTGATAGGATATGACTATTTGAGCATTAGTCATATGAAGTGTCCAAGAGAAAAGATCTGTCCAGCGAGAAAGGGCTTCGAACAATCGTGACCTCAGCTGGTACACGTCGCCTCTTAGGGTTTAAATACCGAGGAGGCTCATCTTCAGTGAATTTATGGTTACAACACCCTCATTGCTATGGCAGTATGTCGTACTCTCATGCGGATTTGGAAGAGTATCGGAAAGTTATTTTTGTAAGCTTGATGATTCAAGAAATTGACGGACGAGCGCATGTGGTCGTTTACGCGATTTCGTGCGGATGCTTTTTTTGATACTCCGATGTTGTTTTCGTCTACCAGTTATTTCTTGATTATGCGATAAGCTGTACGACATCTAGTTTCAAGATGAATTCTGCTGGTTTTCAGAGAGCAGGATTAGTAATACTCAAGAATTCTCATGGTTTTACCCGGTATAAACCCGGTATGAGTGGATCGCAGGTTCAACTCCCGTCCGAGGTCGAGTTTTTGCTCAGCACTCAAGTCTCTTAGGTGTACCTCTTCATTCAATCGCACTTCATAGACCTCGCTCAAAAATAGCAATAGTCTGATAATGATATAAAATGTCTTGAGCCGTTAGTGAGGTCTGATAAGTGCTAGACGGGCGCCTACTTCGTCCTCCAGGACTCACCAGTAGCACAGTCTCCTTCGGTTCAGCCGATCCCTTGAGGCTATACTCTTCTATGAAGGAGAGCTCTATGAGACTTTACTCCTCCGTAGAGAAGTATAGCCTCAAGGGATCGGCTGAACCGAAGGAGGCTGTGCTACTGATGAGTTCTGGAGGACGAAACAGGCGCCTGTCTAGCACTTATCAGACCTCATTAGCGGCTTAAAACATGCTTACGTCATTATCATCCATTTATCTAGTGTTGATCTCTAAGTATTACGGATCACAATAGCTGTGAGCTTAACTGATTTCATGGAACGGTATTGCTTACCCAAACTAACCTGTCATAGATTGGTAGCTGATAGCTATGGATATAGCGAAAGGGTGCCACGGTGGTGTAGTGGTAGCACGCGCCTCCCGCTCAGTATGGGTGAAACGCTGGTTCAACTCCAGCCTGAAGTCGACATTTTGCTCCCCACTCACTCGGATTAGTCTTTTGAACAAATCTGGGCCACAATTATATGGGTTTCGTGTCGAATGTACCGATTCATCTTTAGAAAACGTAGTCAGTTGAGTGCTTCCTCGTGTGCCGTTCTCAGCGTATTTCCATCGTGCGACACAAAGCTGCGCAAACACATGCAAACGGTCGATGGTTCGATTTTACGCTCAAGCTCACCAAGCTATTCATCCCGTCGTGGTTGGTGAATTGGTAGCAGACTGGTCTGGGAGGATAGCAGCACTGATTTGTACATTGGTAGATCACTGTGAGCCATTTCGTAAAGGCCAGGCAGGGAGTCAGTCACCTAAGAGGTTCTTTATCAACCGAATACATACCGCATCTCTCAGGGATTGATCAGCGTGGGAAGAGAAAGAGAAAGAGGAAGAGAGAGAGAGGGAGAGAGAGAGAGGAGAGAAAGAGAAAAGCTGGAACTCTCCTGCGTTACCGTGCTGCTCGTTGTCGTTTACCGAGTTCTGCCAAGTTGGCGTGATCCTTGTTTTTTGGATCTTAGGTGTATCCAAGATATGATCTCTAGGATTGCTGATCTATCCGGAACTAAGTGTTTTTTCTTCACCAGTCCTTATTCATAAATCCATGAGGCAATGCAACACTCTGAACGGCAGTCTGGACCTGTATTCTTTTATTGTAGATATCGAAACAGCCGTTCCTCCTTCTGTCAGACTAGGGATTTTGCTTCTCGTTTTCCTCCTTTTATACCCTTCTCTTTCTCTCCCTCTCTCTCTCCTTTTCCTCCTCTTTTTCCTTCTCTTTCTCTTTTTCCTTTTCTTTCTCCTTCTTATTCTTCCTTGCACTCCTCTCTCTTTGTTTTTCTTTTGCTAGAGATTTACCTCAGTGAAGAATCATTCCATCAGTGCTCACCTTTTCCTCCTCTTCCCCATTTCATAGTTTTTCTACGATTACGGGGTGATATGCATAAGCCTTATTAGTGGCTTAATATGCGACTTATCACCTCTATGTTGTCAGTTTTTCGTTGGCCAACCAAAACGCGAGGTCGTTCCAATCGACTTTACGTACTTCTCCCTTATCCGTTCTCACTTGAACCTCTTGAAAAAAAAACACGTATTTTTTGGTTGTTTTCAAAGTTCAATTAGTCATTGGATAGCTTAAATCTCGAAAAATAAAAACAATGTATTTTATCTCTGAAATAACCTTTTTGATGCGCTGTAGCAATGAGAATAAAATTATGTTCTAATTCAGACATTTTTCGTTGAACAAAGTTTTTCCTTTAGATTTTCAGTAACCAATCTATAGCCTAAATCTCAACAATTCGAATTATGAATTTGGTTTTTGAAAAGGACTTCTTAATGAGCTTCAACAGTCAAAAGAAGATTGAGTTTTCACAAATTTGGCATCGGAAAAAGCGCACTGGCTTAGTGGCAGTATCGTACCACGCGAATCTTGACTTTCTTTTAGTTACTATGACGGAACAAATAGTCCTTCTCAAAAATCAAATACATTATTGGACTTGTCTAGATTCAAGACTATCGAAAGGTTACTAAAATCCAAAGGAAAATTTTTGTTCAATAAGAAATATTCGAATGGAAGGCATAATTTCATCTTATCTGTTACAGCGATGAAGTTATTTTGAAAACAAAATATTCCGTCAAATCTTTAAGATTTGACCTACCAGATAACTGTTGAAGCTTTGAACAAAAATCAGAAGCGCGTTTTTCTGAAGACATCGAATAAGGGTGCGGATAACGGAAATGAGCCATATTTGCGAAATTCAATCTTCTTTTGGCTTTTGGCAGCGTATTGAAAGGCTCTTTTGTAAAACCAAAAACTTTATTGGAATTTTGAAAATGAGAAGAAAAACTTAGAAAATAATCTTTATTTCAAAGCTTCACAAGGTTGGTATCTTTTCCCAATCGATAGTTCTTCTTTCCGGTCGATGGGTTTCGCGATTGCTTGTGGCTGACGTTTCGGCAAATACGTTTTTGATTGGAATTGTTGAAGTTTAAGTTGTCGAATGGTTGCTAAGACTTGATAAAAGAATACTAGAAAATATGTTTTTTCCGAGGACTTGATCGGGGGATCTTATAGCAGAAATGATCCCGAACTTATTTGAACATTCGATGTTTCGACGAATCTCGTCTTCTTCAGAGTCTGAAAAACCAGTTTTGGTTCATTAAGAATGAAATATCATCTAATGAACAAGGCTGACGTTAATAAATAGCCGGTCTGTGCCTGTTTTGTTAGTGTTTCGAAGCGATAAATTCAGTTCTTGTGATGATTAATGCGTCGAATGTCCAGTAAAATATCAATAACATCTTTTTCGAAGGACTTCTCTCATTTTCTGTCGAATTTTCGTCATGAACACTTCACTGTTTTTCCTACTTTTTCGTCAATTTGTGAGAACAGGAGAATTTTTTGAACTACAGGTGGCCCTTAGAAAGAATGTCAGCTATAGGATTCATTGGGCTCGGGAACATGGGTGCACATATGGCACGAAATTTGATGAAGAATGGCCGTAAATTGGTAGTGTATGACGTTAATGAAACCGTCCTTCTCTCGTTCAAAGTGAGTCAGCAGCATTGTTTCAATTTTCCTTTATAATCTGATGAAGGACATCGAACGATTTAGGCTGAAGGAGCTGAAGTTGCAAAGTGTCCTGCTGATGTTGCAGCTACGGTGAAGGACATCATTACGATGCTCCCAAGCAGTCCACACGTCAAGAAGGTCTATGGTGGAGACGATGGCCTGCTGAAGTTTGTTTCCATAGTTCTGCATGTCATCTACATATATGTATATATAAATATATATATGTATATATATCTATGTACATATATATATATATATATATATATATATACATCATTACTTTCCAGTCCACTATTTTGAAGTCTCGCTCAGTAATTCAATATGGTCCTTTTCCGTTAGACGGAATTGGATGGATAAGCGATCTTTTTTGCTGGACAATTTCACAGAAAGAATGTTAGAAAACGATCATTGCTCTACATCGCTGGGTATATCAATAGCATCATATTACCGCTGAAAGCGGTTAAATAAGAAAAATTCGTAGAGCCAGTAATCATTCGGAAGCTAAACTCCTTAGCTGATACTCTACCTTGGCAATTTTCAAAAAAGTCTTTTTATAACGCTTCAGCGAAAGGACAACAGTTGTGTATCACATGCAAATATTTCTTGCAGGACAAAGCTGTCCCTTTAGACTACCAGAAATCATTCGATAGCGTAAAATTCAACGATTTCAAAGTTGCGAACATTTCCCGGAAAGACGACCGTTTCCTTGCAGTGCAGCAGAGAAAATGAGATTGATTCACATACGTGGGCATTTGTTTTTTGGCTAAACTACATGCTAGGAGGAAGGACACAGGGAAGGGGACTGCCCGCGGTTCAGTACGGCGACAGAACGATGGCGCTTAGCGACTCACCTATGAAGTGCGTCAGTTAGGAAGTCTTTCTTTGCTTCACGAAAAACGGGTGAGATGCAGGTTCAATGCAGCTGGAGTTTCGACGTTTAATTAACCACTCAAATTTTGAATTATAAGACCTTAAACACCCAGGGAGCAATGTTTCATTATTTAAGGTTACGATTTATCTGAAGTTATGACATCATATAGTTTTATAAGTCTCCAAAGACGAGTCTATTACATCAAAAGTTTCTAAGTTTCCAAGTAGTTACGATAATTTTCATCGAAGAAACATTGTTAGCAGAGCGGGTGAGCCTCTATGGTGTAAGGATAGCATGCGCCCGCGGTACACCTGAAACGCGAGTTCAACTCCTCCCTGGGTCGAATGTATTGCATACCACTCAGTTGTCTTAGATTTCTAGGGTCGGATCACGGTGTTATGATATGACATGGTTCTGGTGACATGGAAGTGTTCATTCATGTATTCTTAGATCTATACAACCAGGAAGTCTTTGTATAGACTCGTCGACCATTGATCAAAGTGTATCTATCGAAGTAGCTGAGTGGTGCAAGGCGAAGCAGAGCACATACGTTGATGCACCTGTTTCGGGAGGTGTAACAGGTTCAGTTTTTCAACCGATAAACTTGATTTCCTATCCTTCTAACTTGATGAGTACATCCCTACTAGAACGAACGACTGGTCATTCCTAAAAGAGTTTCTTAAGGTGCTAAGAATGCGACACTTACGTTTATGCTAGGAAGTGGGAAGTCCCAAGAGACGTTTGACCGAGCGGCTGCAATTCTTAATTTCATGGGAAAAAATGTGGTAAATGGATTTCTGATATTCAGTGTAAAGTATCCTTTCGAGGGTTAACAGGTTTTTGTGGTTCAAACAAGCAGATGTTTAAGCAGTGTTTTTTATGATTTTCTTGTTTCTTATAATTTATAGTTTTTGAAAGATTTGAAACCTGAAAGTTTCATAGGTCAAATGTGGAGAAGTTGGTGCCGGACAAGCAACGAAGATTTGTAATAACATGTTGCTAGCGATTCAGATGATTGGAGTCGCTGAAACGATGAATCTTGGAATTAAGTGAGTTGTGAGAACTTTGCGAGTTGCCTTTTGAAGAGGGAGTGGTTTCTATGAATTGCACTCACGTTTCCCTTAACTTTTTCAATAAACAGAGCTTCTTAATAAACTTTCAGTAGTTATTCGATAGCTCGAAAAACGTCGATTCTAATACGATGCTTGATTTTTGGGAGAGACTTCTTACTACTCTGTGGTAACGAAAAATTATGTTTCATTTTCGGAGAGCATTGTTTGCTCTGCTCTCGTACTTGCTTGGCTTTTCATCAGACTTATAGTAGTCAAGCAACAGTTTGAGAGACTGCGATTCCAATACTGAGCATGCTTAGAAGACCTCTTTATTGTGCTCTACCAATGAAGAGAAATTTATGTTTTGCCTTAGGAGTGCATAGCATCTACGCCTTCGTGATCGCTTGACTTTATCAATGGACACAGCTTTTTCACTAGATTTTGAGCAACCATTTGATAGCTTGAAAAACGTCAGTACTAAC